CAGCCTACCAGTGGACTGGCACAGAGGGGTATGTGTGCACCAAATTGCACTGTGGCGGGTGACATTGTTATCTTCTTCACGTTGAGCTTCAAAGTGCCGTCCGTTGTGGCAAGTGAACGCTCCATCGAGTACCTTTGCTACGCCTCCTTTGAACCAGAGTGCTAACTCGGAATAGGAGAGGACTAGCCAGGGCCTTAGAGCCGAGAAAGGACGTCCACTAATTACCCTAGTAAAAAGGTATCCACAGCCATCGAATAAAGAAAGTAGACGGTCGTTGTCGGAAACATCAAAGAAGTTGGTGGTTAAGGAAGTAGCTGAGCTATTGCAGGTTTAGCTTAGTAAACGGGCAATCTTAACTTTATTTTCAGAAAGTACATTTTTATTAAACATTAGATAAAATTGTGACTCCTTGAACGAAAACAACAAAGGAAAAGGTACAGTATTTACCCCCAATGAGCCGCTTCTGGGAAAGACATGTGTCTGCTCGACTTGGAATTGAAAATATGGCTAGCAGCCGGGATGTGGGGAGCGTCGCTGGTACCGTGGATGACATACCGTCCTGGTCCAGTGTAGTTCTAAAATACACAAGGTAGTGCTATGATCTACTACGTATTGGAAGTTGGGGTGCTCAATAAATAAATAACCTTCAAAGATTTACTTTTTTTGCTAAGCTGTGATCCCCACCAGCAAATTCTTTCGTTAAGAGAACATAAAGCAAATGCTGTGGACATCTCAGTTTTCTCCAGTTGGTCGACGACAGATAAATAACTAAGATATTCGATTTCCAATAGAGGAGAGTATGCGAGTTCCAGGAAGCAGTTCAGAAGGAGATGCGATCACTGGAACAAGAGTTTTATTGTCCTGACGTTTCGGATTCTGTCGAGAATCCTTAATCATAGGTAATCTTAGGAAAGTCGGAGACATGCGCAGATAAGGGTGATGCATGCACATGTTGCACGGTATTTATAGTTCGTAGTGGTCATCCGCATGCGTCAGTTGCCGTAGCCACCGCTTGAGGTCTTAATTGGTGCGGTGATGGCCCATTAATTGCCACAATTTGCTTGTTAGCGTCGGATGCGGGCCTGATAATTGCGGGACAATTATGTTCGCTGCCGTCAGAGTTGTTGTTGCGCCCGGTCCTTCCCACGTTATTAATTCTG